GCTAAGTGGGGCTAATATGAAGCTTCTGCTAATAGATGTGAACTAGTTCGTAGGACCTTAAATGGGGTAACTCATGTAACGCCCACAACAACCCTTCGAGAAGGATACGATTTTATTCTTGGCACTTTACAGATGAGAACGCTAAGGTCACACAGCTTGTATGTGGTGCAGCTGGAGTTTAACTGTCTCTCTTCAGTGTTTAGTCTTAGCTGGGTGCCGCAGTGCATGACCATAGTTCTAGTTATTTGGGAGGCTGGGCAGGAAGATCAGTTAAGTACAGGAGTCCAAGGTCAGCCTAAGCAATATAGCAAGACCTCATCTTTAAAGAGAAAGGAAGGGCTGAACATGGTGGTGCATGCCTGTAATCCCAGCACTCGGGAGGCTGAGGCAGGAGGATCTCTGAAACTTCAAGGCCAGCCTTGGCCAAATAGTGAGTTCAAGGCTATCCTGAACTACATAGTGAGACCCTGACCTAGAAAAGGAAAGGAAAGGAAAGGAAAGGAAAGGAAAGGAAAGGAAAGGAAAGGAAAGGAAAGGAAAGGAAAGGAAAGGAAAGGACTGAGGAAGGAGGACTACTATGAGTTCAAGGCCAACCTGAATTACATAGGGAGATCCTGTCTCAAACAAAACAAAGCAAATAAATAAATGGAAGGAAGCAAGGAAAGAAGAAAGGAAAAAAAAAACCTACAGTCTTAATCACCGTGCTCTTGAGACTAGTGGTTAGTATTAACGTGGATGATGGATATCTATGAATCAGCAAATGAACCGAAGGGTGGATAGCTGAGCGGAGGGCTGGGCAGTGGGAACCACAGCTGAGTGAGTACACAGGTGGGAAGGTGCTCCTACGCAGTATCTTGGCCTTTCTAGCTTTTCCATGCCACTACTGTACTGTACTCCATCCTGACAAAAGCACCCAGGTGCACGTCCACAGGGAGCACGGGCTCAGCCCCTAGGAAGGTAGAGGGATCTAGACCTCCACCCTCCAGGGGCCCTGACCTTCAGCCAAGAGGGCAGGGGATTTTGGTACTGAGGCAGCAGCAGGACCCAACCTTTGCAGCCTTGTGCCCCCAGGAGAGCTTCCCCTCGGTGCTTCCTGTGTAAAATGCAAGGCTGGGACTTCTAGGCCGGATACCTCCAGCTCTTTGAAGTGGGGACTCCCAGAGCATTGAGTCCTCTTGCCTTCACCTTCACTCTCGCCTGTGAGACCCACCATTCCCGATTCCCTTCTGGCCCCATCTCCGGGCCACGGCTCAGCCCTGCAGCCCAGCTCCAGGGTCCTCTCCTCCTCCAACATTCCGCTCCCCTTCAATGCCTCTTTTCTGTTGTCTCAATGCTCCGTCCTCCTAATCGCAGACCGGCCGTGGCTGAACACGCACCAGAGCTGCCCGAGCTGCTCCCTGTCTGGGCTTGTGGTGCTTAACTGCTTTCCTTTATGATGGACAGGCAGCACCCAGCCCCGGAGGGAAGTACACGCTGGCGCGGTCTTTCTGAGAGGCTTGGGTCCTGCTGGAACCCAGGAGCCCTGCAGAAAGACTTTCTAGGGCAGCAGTTTGGGGTTCCTACAGTCCCAAGACCCTAGATCCGCAGCCCTGGCCCAGACAACAGCCTGGAGGAAAAGTGTAGGAAACTGGGATGGGTTCTTTCTCTGATTTTTTTCCTCATATTTTTTCAACCTGTAAAAGGAGAGTTTGAATGTGCACATTCACACAGTCCGATCGCCTGATTTACATCTGAGCTGCACCGCTTGCTTCTCAGGGGCATGACCTTGGGAGAGACAGTGAGTTCTCTAAACCTCAGTTTCCTCCTCTGTAAAATGGGCATGATACGATCACCAATTTCAGAGTTCTTATGAGAAATAAAACACCATGCCAAGGACAAGTAAAGGCTCCGTAATTGGTGGTAATTGTTGCAGTGTTAAAGAAGAGGAAGCGAAAGAGAGCCGGCAGGCAGTTCAGTGCCAAGCACTCTCGCCTAATCTTGCCATGCCAACTTCTCTCTCACTTTTTTTTTTTTTTTTTTTTTTTTTTTTTTGGTACTGGGAAACCGGGAATTAAATCATGACCTCATGCTTGCTAGACAGACGCTGTGCCACTGGGCTATATCGCTGGCCCTTCCCCATCTTGTTTGTGCGTTTGCAAATAGGCTCTCACTGTGCATTCCAGGCTGGCCCAGAACCCGCCCGATTGCTGAGCCTCAGCCTCCCCAAGGCAGGGTTACGGGAGCTGGCCACCCCGCCCGGCCTCCCGAGGAATGCGTGTCCGCCACACGCCCCGAGAGGGGCCCGAGGTCTCATGGGCCGCGCTGCGGATGGGAAGGCCAACACCTGAGCGCTGAGGATCACCCCGAGGGTCTCGCACACGGTAGGTACAGCTCTAGCTCCGGCCTCCCCACGACATACTTTTGAGAAATTATTTGGAGCTGGGCACTGTGACTTACACACAGCTGAATTCCAGCTATCTGGGAACCGGAGCCTGAGGAAGGAGGATCAGAGGTTTGAGGGCAGCCTGGGCAATTTAGTGAGGCCCTAAATGACTGGGAATTTAGCTCAGTGACAGAGTGAGCTTGATTTGTGTGAAGTCTATGGCCTGATCACTAATACTGAAAGAAGAAAGAAAGAAAGAAAGAAAGAAAGAAAGAAAGAAAGAAAGAAAGAAAAGGGGGGAGAGGGAAGGAAGGAGCTAGAGAGAGAAGAAAAGAAAAAATGATTTGACAATTTTTTAAAAAATTAATTTGGTACAGGGTCTCACTATGCAACTCAGACTAGTAGTGATCCTCCTGCCTCAGCCTCCCCAGCTCTGGGATTATAGGTGTGTGCCACCACGCCTGGTTTGGGTGGCTGGCACCACATTCAGTACCAGGTATCGAACTCAGGTCCTTGCACTTGCCAAGTAAGCACTTAGACCACTGAGCTATCTCCCCAGCCAGACAATGCT